ATATATATAACACACATATATGTATTTTTACAGTTTATATATAGGTTTTAATGAAAACGAAAAGTTGTCAGTATTATGGGGAAGCTATAAGGCAACTGTTAAATGGGCCATAGTTTATTTAATTTGTAATGTAAAATGTTTTGGGAATGATGTTTCTTTCTAAACATTTCCAAAACAGAATTTACCTGATGACAGAAAATATGCAATTACGAAGAAATATTTAGTATTTCTATAATTATAAATAAAGAAAAGAAAAAGAAAACAAGATCAGAAGTCTTAGAAATAGAGGAAGAAATCACAATTTTAAAAAATGAGGGAGAGGGAGGTAGATTTCAGAAATTACTGACAGGTAAAATAGAAATGTTTCCAGAACAATTCTAAAATGAATTATTAAATAGATAGTTTATGAACAATTGGTAAATAATACAGCGATCTCTAAACACTAGCATAAAATAACCAAGAGTAACTAATGTCTAACTTTATTTTCTCACAGGGTCACTAGTTTGGGAGCTCAGGGATATATGAGAGACAGACTATATCTGCATTTCAACAGGACACCTCACAAAGTCACTCTTGATAATTCACAGAAAATATCGGTTAGATGATAAAAGAGCAAGAGGGTTTGGTTCATAACTGAATTGTACCCAAAAGGTTGAATAATGGATTACCGTCAACCTAATGACAGTCTGGATGTGTTGAATGACACAAATAAAGCGCCTACCTGCTAACCAAAAGGCTGGTGGTTTGCATCTACCAACGAACCTTGGAAGAAAAACCTGGTGATCTACTTTGGAAAAAGCAACCATTGAAAACCCTATGGAGCACAGTTATACTCTGACACACACAGGGTCAACATGAATCAAGCTCAACTCAACTATAACTGGTTTTGGTTTAATAAGACTACTTATGTTGTATAGCACTGTTTCACCCTTATTCATCTTTACCAGTGAACTAAAATGAAAATACAGGTGCAACAGTTATCAAATTTGTCAATGTTACAAAGATATGAAGAATGGTCTAAAGTCTGAACATTATCAAGCTAAAATTAACAATATAACAATTACCAGGGTAAATGTACTCAATTATGTTAAAAGAAATCAAATGCACAAATGAATATGATTTTAGACTTTAAGAATATAGAGTTCAGTAAAAAAAGCAGCATTATTATTCCCTGTACTTTGCAATGATCTGAGAGGTTATATTCAGAGCTAGGTAAGAAACCCTGAAAATCAGACAACTAAGCTGGTAAGAAGGAGCTCTGGTAGCATAGTGCCTAAGGTACTTGACTGCTAACCAGAAGGCTGACGGTTCAAACCCACCAGCCACTCCTCGAAAGGAAGATGAGGCAATCTACTTCTGTAGTGATACTGCCTCGGAAACCCAAGGAGGGGTCGCTAAGAGTCAGGTCCGACTCGACAGCACATAACAACAACAAGCTGATAAGAAGCAAGAAACTAATTTCAAAAAAAAATGTCATTTAAGGGACAGCTGAAAAAACTTAAGAATAATTTACCCCAGAAAGAAAAGCCCTACTAAGGCATAACTTCATTAAATATTTGAAGGCCTATCATGCTGACAAGGAATTAGGTTTATTACTGTGGTATATAAAAACTAATACCAACTACAAATATTTATCTGTATATTAGGTTTATAACAACAAACAACATCATCAGGTGGCAGAACAAATGAGCTTCAGCACAATATAAAGAATGTTCTGAAAACAGAACTCCAATAACAGAGCAGAGTAGCTGTGAAGTGCAGACTTCTTCCTCACAACATTCAGAAGTTAAGACCGCCAACACGGACTCCAGATATGATACATTTTCACATTTCCCGAATATACTTGATCCCCTCAAAAGACTGAATTAGTCTGTCAGGGGAAGGCAATATTTAAAAATGGGTACATGTCAGAGAAGCTTAAAAACTGTTTTCTTTGACATGTTTCTAAAGAGATGAAGATTGTTCATGAATTCTAAATTCATAATACCATTTTCAGAGAAACTATTAAATTAAAGCTTTATTTTTAATAAATGCCAAATTTATTTTAGGGAGCTCTGGTGGCACTGTGGTTAAAGCGTTGGGTTGTTAACCAAAAGGTACGCAGTGTGAACCAAAAGTAGGCAGCGTGAACCCATGAGCTGCTCAGTGTCAGTCTGCTTCCATAAGTATTTACAGCCTTGGAAACCCTATGGGGGCAGTTCTACTCTATCCTGTAGGGTCACTATGAGTTGAAATTGACTTGATGGCAGTGGGTTTGGTACTGGCGCTGTTTTTCCTCAATGAAACAACTTAACTGTTAGTTACCTTTATCAAGAGATAAGGGATAATTATCTGCCAGCCTGCCAACTAGTCTCAAGAAGAAAGCATTTGCATGGCTGTACCTAAAATTTAGTCCACCTAAAACTTCCTTGTAAGGCGAAGGCTCCTCCTTATCAGACAAGGGAGGCTGCTCTAACACTGACCCATTCTCACTGCAGCCTAGGAAAAACTCAGTCTTGACATGCTCAAAACAAAAACTTGTGAGAACTTCAGAGCAGCTGTGTTCAGGAAGAGCTAGGGTCTTTACTTGAGGCAAAGTAGTTGCTTATGAGTTGGCTGAAAAAATAATTGTTATTTTGGGTTGAAAGTGGGGAGAGGAAAAGGAATAAGATACAATAATGACAGCTATTAACACTTAAAAGCCATGGAAAACAAAGGCACTGAAACTACCACAGGGTAAACACTGTGATCCACAAGTTAAAAGATGAGCAGTGTTACTACTGGCTCACTTTCTGCTAGGTGGTACACTAATGACGGAAGAAAAAAAAAAAAGTCTTGTATTCAATAATACCCAAGTCAAAGCTATCACAAATTCTACCATGGAAGAACAAAACAAGGACTCTGTTCTCTCATTGGATGTTTTTTGTGCAGCTGCCAGGCTGTCTGAATGTTCAGTAAGCAAAGTTCTTTATGTGAAATATCCAACTCAGTGATAAATGTTACAGGGTCAGGAATTAATTGGTTTCAATGTACTACAGGAGCAGTTTTCTGCCTTCAAAGGGTTTCTGAAAAGCAAAGGTTAACACAAAACTACATACTCTGACTTCTCTTCAAATAATAACTTTACCAGTATTTCTGACATTATTTTGCTTCTCAAAAGTAAAATAAGAGAAAAAAATAAAGAGAAAGCTATGCAATAGCAAAGACATTATTAATTGGTTGTATTATTGCAATTTATGATTTCAACTACCAAAGGGCAAAGCCTGTGCCTTTTCTGTACAGAACTAAGGACAAACTGGTAAGACTACTTAGCAGTATAGCTGCCAAACTTTTCTTTAGCTTCTTTTCTTACAAATATGTTACATTTCGCAATAGCTTCCACTTACCTTATATCCTCTATGTTCAAGTACAAATTGAGTTTGATTTCCCCAACCCTTGCCCTAAGATATTAGGACATATCTTTTAAGCTTCTGAGTCTGGGCACAAAAGAAGAAACTAAAATTTTTTCACTTTCCTGAAATATGTTTTTGTTTTGTTTATACTATGTGTGTGTGGGGAAAGTATGTTAAAAGTACTTGTAACTATCTGTTTAACAAATCCTCAAGAATATGAGTGGGTAAGTCACATATTTAGCATAACAAATTCATTTTAGTGTATTTTTGTGTGTTTAGAATGCCTATAAAGGTATGTCTCTCCAATAATTACTTAGATTACTGCAAAAATGTTAAACACGGGAGTCAACTGTGCTTACTGAGAAAACTCTGTATACCCACTAACTTACACTTAACAGGACTCTCAGAGATAGTAAAACATCCCCTGTCAAGTAAAAAACAAACTTTTAAAAGTTAGGAAAGTGGCAACATGGGAATCTGGGTAGGAGGTGTCCTGGGTAGTAAACACCCCAGTCAGTTAACCTAACAAGCAATTCAGAGTAACATGTAAGTCCCTATGGGGCTCCATCTTGGAAGGCTTAAGTCCCAACTCCACATCCCTGTTTAGGTGAAGTGTGGAAAGAGGAAGAGAGAAAGAAAGGAAATCAGAGCAGAAGTGATGAAAGTGTTCTATTTTTCTCTTTCTTTACCTCCATTCCTGCAGGCTGGCCACGAGTCTGAATGCCATGCCCAAACAGAAGCCCTAAAATCAATACCCCAGCCTTCTTCTGATACTGAGACAGCTATAAAATCTATCACCTGTCTCCTTTACAGTAACTTTCCCTAACCCTCCTGACTCCCATACCTTTCCCGAAGCCATGCCTTTTGGCTACTCAGCCCACCCACCCAATTAAGTCTTCCTAATTAAAATTCACTTTATTTTCTCAAAATTCATACTTTTCCTCTGATATCATGTCTCTGGCTTCCTTTTTCTCAATTCAATTTAAATGACAAAATCCTAATTTCCAATGATTTACCCCATCCTATCTTTCTAGCTACCCCAATGTCATGTTTTCACCTGATCAAGATTCCTGGTTCTCCCCACTTATCCCCACCTCCTGCCTATGCCTTTTCCAACGCCAAACCCTTAACTCTACTCTTTGGTAAGTCGTGGGTCTTAACCTAGTTTAATACCCCTTCCGTCTATGCCATCCCACCCCATTCCATGACCCTTCCATTAGACTCCACTAGACTACCCTTCCCTCAAGATACAACTCCCCTCTCCTTGCCACGCCCTGTGCCCCCCGGGGCTACTTACCCCTAGTTCTCCCCACACTTCAGGCCTCAGGCCCCGCCTTCCCACCCAGAGGAAGGAGGCGGGAGGAGGGAGAGAAGATGGGCGGAACTCCACAACGTAAAGGCAATCTTCCATTAGCGCTCACAGCCGCCAATTGTGGCTTCCTTTTATTTTATTGGCCGGCTTTAGTCCATGCCCCGCCCTCTTCCTCAGACAGGGCCTGGCCACCGCCTCAGCGCCCCCGTCCAACACAGACTAGGAGGGGAGACCCTGGTCTGGGACACTGGGACTAGCCAGAGTTGAAGGAGAGACTCTCGTCAGATCACGGACTAGCTAATATGAACAAGACTCACCCGCTGGTAGCTCCGCTGCCTCCCGCCCGTCCGCCCTCGGTCCCACAATCTTTCTTCGGCTCCTTCTTTCCCCCCTCAGCGTAGCAGATACTTTCCTCCCGTCCGGCCAGGCACGCTCACCTCTCGCGAGAGGTGGGGGGGCGAGATCCGTGGGGGCTGAGTTGGAAAGGGGCCGAAGGGCGGGGCCCGGGCAGAAGAAGAGGCCGGGCATACAAAATGGGAAGGGTTGAGGAGGAAGTCTGAGTGTGTACCATACACATAAGTCACACGTGTTCGGGTGAGGAATCAAAGGGGAAGGGAAAGTGAAATTTTAGAGGTGCCTGTAGTGGCGGAGAGGGAGAAAGATGTGGCAGTCTGCTTCTGTAAAGATTTACAGCCTTGGAAACCCTATAGAGCAGTTCTAGTCTGTCCTATAGGGGTCACTATGAGTTGAAGGCATTGGGTTTGAGGGGACAGTGTGTTTCTGTTAATGGTAGCAAAGTAATTTGGAAAATGATAGCAACAATGGTAGCACAATTTTGAATGTAACCAAGGACACTTACTTGTACATGTAAAAATGGTTAAATTTGCCTATGATACGCTGTGCATATTTTCACCCATATATGTAATATTATATTATATATAATATAATATATATGTAATATGGGAGCTCTGGTAGCATAGTGGCTAAGGCACTTGACTGCTAACCAAAAGGCTGGCGGTTCAAACC